CGTTCATTCGCTCACTTGTTCATTCACCCAACAACTGTGTGAGTGCCCACCTTGAGCCAGGAATTGGAGTCGGCCTGGGGGTAGAGACACGCGCTGCAGGAAGTCGAGGAAGACAGACCTGAGCTCACCCCTTAGCACACAGAGAATCTAGTGTGGGAGACGGAGGGGACCACAGACTCCCACCCATGAGGGTTACCATAGGAGCAGCCAACAGCCTCGGGAGCAGGGCAACTCTGAGCAAAGTAGCAGCTCCTCAGACAGAAAAGGGAGCGTGTTGCAGCCAGGGGGCACATCAGGGGTCAGGGGTATAGGACCTGAGTGTCCTGGCAAACCCAGGCTCCATGGGAGGAGGAGTAGGGGAGACCCAAAGGGCTCTGCCTTCCCGGCAAAGCCTTGCACTTGCTCTGCAGGCTACAGGAAGCCACGGGAAGATCTTCAGCAGGAGAACGGCAAGGAGAGATTTAGGTTAGAGCAAGCACTCCGGCAGCCAGCACAGCCAGCAAATTGGAGAGCAACAAAGGGAGCGGCCCGGCAGGGGCCTGCGCAGGGCAGCGGCCACAAAGACCAAGCAGAAGGAGACTCTGGGTCGGGGTAGACGGGGTGGGTGCTGGGGAGGATGCTGGGTTGTGGCCCCGAAGCTAGTGAAGGATGCTGAAGAAGGGGGTTTGCGGAACTTCGCAGCCAGGGGTCCCTCACTCCCAGGGCCTGCTGCAGGCTGACCTTTCACCTCTCAGACGGGCAAACAGGAAAACCTGGAGGCTCAAGGAAGTGTGGGCAGGAACAGGCGCTCACATTCTCCTTTTGAGCACAAGCCGGCACAGCTTTTCATAAGTTTGGCATTATCTGTTAATTAAAAAAAAAGATACTTACACACTTTCTCTAAACAATGTCTAGGACGATAGCCTTGTGCAACACTCACACTGTCCTGCACACACAGGGATGTTTGCGAGAGCATTTTTTAAAGGTGCAAAAAATACCTGTTTTTAAAAGGAAACAATAAAATATTCACCATTAGCAGATTGGTTACATAAATTACGCCCATGAAGCCACTGAAAAGAGTGAGGGATCCCTCAGCGATTCTCTGACGTTAAGGTGCCCCGAATCATCCCAGGAGGCTGTGACATGCAGATTCTGACTCGGTGTGTCTTGGGGGCCACGATGCTGCATTTCTAACAGGCTTCCAGGGAACACCGCCACCAGGCCCTCGATTACCGATGTGGAAAGAAATGTAAGCTGTATCATCAACATCAAAAGGGAAACTGCAAAGCAATATACCCTATTTTACTAAAAAATATTCATAATGCAGGTTAACATATGCGTGAAATATCCAGAAGGATATGTATTTCTGGAAGGAAGAGCTTATGGCGGACTTCCCCTTTCTACACTACATATATAACTATAATATTTCCAATTTTTGTGGTGAGCATGTTATTTTTGCATCAGAAAAAAACCAATATTTTAAAATAATAAATTGATGCATTGAAACACAAAAAAGTTTGTGAACCTGAGTATTATGGACTAAACATTTGTGTTCTCCCAAATTCCTGTGTTGAATCCTAATCCCCAAGGTGACAGTGTGAGGAAGTGGGGCTTTGGGAGGTGACGAGGTCCTGAGTGTGAGGCTCCACTGCACAGGATTAGTGCCCTTGTAAAAGGGACCCCAGAGAGTGCCCTCGCTCCTTCCACCATGTGAGGACACAGGGAAAAGACGTCTGTGAACCTGGAGGCGGGTCCTCACCAGACAGTGAACCTGCCAGCACCTCGTTCTTGGACTTCCAGCCTCCAGAACTGTGGGAAATAAATGTCTGTTGTTTAAACCACACTGTTTGTGATATTTTGTTATAAGTAACCCGAACAGACTAAGACACTGAGCTAAAGGTTACACTTGAAATTGTATATTATATTACTCTTAATAGATCATTCATGCTATTATTTTTAAAGAGCTGTCAGGCAGAGCCCCAAGCAGCTATTTTTTCCAGGCTGGAGGACAAGCGTCTGATGCAGCAGGCTTCTGTCTGCCCATCAATCCTGACCCGGCTCAGCCAGGCCTGCCAGCAGCAGGGCGACCTCCTCAAAATGAGGATCTATTTAGGTCACTCCCCTACACCTGCGTCCACTTCTCCACCTGAAACACTTGACTGGCTTCCCAGTGCCCCCAGAATAAAAACAAAACATAGCACAGGTCACGAGAGCTTTCACATCCGGCCCCTGCCCGCCTCTCCTACCACGTCTCTTGCACACACACATGCACACACGCACGGTGCACACCAGCACACTGGCCCTGCTGCTTGCCAAGTGCCCTCTGTTGCACAGCCTCCAGTCCCTGTGTCATTGATAGACTGTTGTGAGCTTGCAAACAGACGGTGATGTCTCCTCCTGCGCCCCCCACCCCCAGCCTCTCACCAGGGCCAAGGAAGCAGAACTTCCTCTGCACCAGGCTGTGGGCTGTGGCAGTTTGCAGGCTTGGAGACGCAGAGCTCCTCTGAATGAGAAACGGCCAGAGTAACCGCCAAAGGCCTCCTTCATTAGGATCTTGAGGTTGAAAAATACCCCCAAGGGGCTGGCCCCGTGGCCGAGTGGTTAAGTTCGCGCGCTCCGCTGCAGGCGGCCCAGTGTTTCGTTGGTTCGAATCCTGGGCGCGGACATGGCACTGCTCATCAGACCACGCTGAGGCGGCGTCCCACATGCCACAACTAGAAGAACCCACAACGAAGAATACACAACTATGTACCGGGGGGCTTTGGGGAGAAAAAGGAAAAAATAAAATCTTTAAAAAAAAAAAACAAAAAAAAAGAAAAATACCCCCAAGATTTGCCCACATTAATCCCCTGCAAAGTCTCAGAAGTGGTGACTTCAGAGCATGAAACCTCCACCCTGAGGGAGCCAGAGCCAGCACAGCATCCGGGGCTCGGAGTGTGAGCCAGGCACAGAGGATTCGCGGATGCCAGCTGATTCGGGAGGGCACTGACATTTACAAAGCAGTTACTGTGTCACACCCCTTCTAACCACTTTGAAGAAGAATGAACTTAATTCATGGGGTTCCTGTTAAATGGGGTAGTAGACAGGGTGACTGGCTCCCTCTCCCCAGTTAGTACCAGGCAAGTTATTGAATGAGAGAGAAGCATGGGCTCCAGGGCAGAACAACAGAAGCGAGACCCCTGGAGAGATCTGGGCAGGGGGAGGGGGGCTGAGTGGGCAGCAGGCAAGCAGCAGTGGAGGCGAGCACAGGCAATGACAAGCTCTCTCATTCCTGCCCCTGCCTCTCCCTCACACAGCCTTGCACACTCATCCCCAGCCCCTCTGGGCGGAAATCAGCCACAGCCCCACCACCAGGGCATGGGACCGGGGGACCCAGAAAGGCAGGGGTGGACCAGCGCCCCAGGCACTCTTGTCTCCTGCTCCTCACCCCAGACCCCCAGGACTGGGGGCTACAGCCAGGATGACCTGTCTCCCCTGATGCTTCTTCCAGTTTAGGAGACAGCGGTCTGGGTGAGTGGATGATGCCTGGGGCTCCCCACACCCGAGCTTGTTCATCAGGTGCGGCTCACACCTCAGCCTTTGAAATACTCATCCCCAGACACAGAGGTTGATACCCCAGGCAAACAAGCCCTCACAGGCCGGTATCTGAGGAGTACAACAGCCCCAAAATACAGGTGACACAGGGGGCAACTAGCAGCAGTGGACACAGAATTGCAGAGGAGACAGACCAGGAACCTAGAGCCTACCAGAGCCACGTAGGGAGAACAGGGGAACTGGAGTAAGTTTCAATATGAAACCAAAAAAAAGAAGCTACTCCTTAAAATCTCATTAATTTTTATAACAGTCCTGTGGGATAGGACTTTGATCACCCCATTTTGCAGAGGGAGAGAGTGAGACTCAGCAAGGTTGAGCAAGGTCACACAGCTGTAAGCAGTGAGGGCAGGCTCTGAACCCAAGCCCTGCAGCCCCGGCTGTTGAACACTCCGGGTTCTGAGATTGTATTTGGTTGTCACTCTTGTCCTGCCTGAAGTTTTCTTCTGTCTTCACCACTAAGGCACGAGGACCGTCTGCTTCCACTCCTGCCTTCCCATCTACTGAATTAGTTTCCTAGTACGAATTACCTGGAAACAATGTACCACACGGTGGGCAGCTTCAAACAACAGAAATTTAAAGTCTCAGTCCTGAGGCTAGAAGCTGGAAATCAAGGTGTGAGCAGGCTTGCTTGCTCCTGGGGGCTCCAAGAAAGACCCTGTTCCATGTCTCCCCTGTAGCTTCCGGTGGTTTTGCAATCCTTGGAGTCCTTGGCTTGTAGAGGCTTCTCCCCAGTCTTTGCCTCCGATGTCACATGGCCTTCTCCCTGTGTGTGAGCCCAAATTTCCCTCTTATAGGACACCTGTCATTGGATTTAGGGCCCATCCCAATCCGGAACACCTCCTCTTAACTTGATTACATCTGCAAAGACCCTATTTCCAAATAGGGTCGCATTCACAATTTCCAGGGGACGTGAATTTGGGGGCACTAATTCATCCCAGTAGGCGTCTATCAATTGAGGAAGAAGTATGGAGCATCTTCCCAAGAAAAACAGGCAACCCTAATAAAGAATGAGGTGGTCATTACAGGCACACGCAGAGATCCGAGGCCTGAGGTTGACGGAAAACAGGAAGTTTCGGAATAATAAGCTTAGTATGAAGATTCCCCTGGAAAACACACACAGAAAGCATTTCCTATGTTTCCTATGCACGTACACGTGTAAGTGCGCACACGTCTGAAAAGATTCGGGCCATACCCGTCGTTACGGGGCCTCTTTACCGCCATCTGTCAGGTTTCCATTCATTAAACGAGAATGCACCTGCGAACTCGTTATGAAGTTCAAGGTCACCGTGTTCCCAGAGTGGGCACCCTTGGCCGCCATGCAGGTCCCTGCGTTGTCGCCCTCCCGCCAGCAGGGAGCGCCACCGCACTGCCCCGCGCCGCGCGCCGCTCTCCGCCCGGAAGCCCCGCCCCGGCGGAAGCTGGGCGTACGCACATCCTGGAAGATGGCGGCGTCCACGAGCACGGGAGCGGCGGGCCGTGGCGGCCGCCGGGAGCGCGTGGCCCGCAGGAGGCACGGGGGCGGGCCGCGCCGCGGGCCGGGTGGCGGCGGGGATGGGGCCCTGAAGCGGCTGAGGCTGGCGGTGGAGGAGTTCGTGCAGGCGACCTCTGAGGGCGGGCCCCCCGGCGACTGCGCGGCGCCCCGGGCGGAGGGGCGCGTGCGCCCGGGCGGGAGGAAGAGCCGCAAGGAGCTGAGGAGGGAGAAGCGGCAGCTGAGGAAGGCGCGCCGGCTGCAGAGGGCTGCGGGCCCCGCGCAGGGCCCGGGAGAAGGCCCAGCCGGGGGAGCGAGCGGCCCCCGGGCAGGCGAGGAGGAGGGCGAGGGCGGCCCTGCGCCCCCGCGGCGCACCCCACGGCCGCCCGCGCGGCAGCGCGCTCCCCGCGCCCCGGCCGAGGCCGCCCCAGCCCGCGCCCAGGCCAGGGGCCCGCCCGGGGGCACCGGGTCCGCCGCTGCCGCCGCCGCCCGGAAACGAGCACTTCTGGCGGCCAACGAGGAGGAGGACCGCGAGATCCGGAAGCTGGAGCGCTGCCTCGGCCTGAACAAGCGCCGGAGGAAGGGCGACGGGAGCGCCGTGCCGCTGAGCTTCGCCCGCGATGGGCTCGACTATATCCTGGGAGCCCTGGAGTCTGGGAACAGTGGGGGCTTGTATGAAAGCAGTAGTGAGGAGGAGGAGGGTGCCGGGGAGACGCTGCCCGAAAGTGACGTAGAGAGCGACCCCGAGGACGAAAGGGAGGAGGACCGGGAGGAGGAGGATGCGGAAGAGGAAAAGGAAGAGCAGGACGCAGAGGCGGGAGCACCGAGCGAGGAGAGCGAGGAGGAGGAGGAGGTAGAAGAGGAGAAGCGAAAAAAAGCCGAAGAAGCTGAAGGGAGAGCCAAGGAGAAAAGGGGTGAAAAGAGAGTCCGTTTTGCAGAAGATGAAGAAAGGAGGGAAAATTCCTCGGAGGATGTTGACACAACAGATCAGGTATCTGACATCAGCTATCATGTGAACTATCTAAGGTGTCTGGGATTTCCCTCGAAATAACAAGTGGGGGCGGAGCCTAGGGCAGGAGTGACGCAACTGATGTATTGATACTTGTTTGAGCTGAATGTGGGTAAACTGGGTTATTCCGTCTACTTTTATGTATTTAAATTTCTATAACAAAGGTTTAAGGGAGAAAGCATAACTTAATGGCTGTTCCCACCCTTGTCCTAAGGCAACATCTCCTTCCTTCACGTTTTCTGCCTCAGTCTCCAAACCTGAGTTTGGCTCCCCTCCCCACTTGCTCTCTTGTGGCCTCTGGTGTGTCCTGAGGACAGTTGCACCCCTGACTCGCCTCTGCCCTCACCTCATCCTTTTCCTGTCCATCTGCCCTGGAGTGGATCTTTCTAAAACACAAAGCTGATCTACAACACCGCCTTAGATGAAGTCTCACATCGGAGGACAAGTTCAGAATCCATGAGGTAGCAGTCCGGGGCTTCATGGGCCAGCTCCTTCCCTGTTAAAGCAGCTTCCCCTCAGTATGCACCTTGACGGCAGCCATATGGAATTGCTCGCATTTTCTTCTCCGCACCTCACTATTTCAGCATTCTGCTTCTAAATATGTTATTCCTTCTGTTTGCACAGCGTTTTCTCATTTTCTCGCTGTTGGTGTTTATCTGTTAATATCAAACATCTGTGGGATCCTCCTCATCTTAAGTATATGAACTGTCTTTCATTTCTGTCCCTAGTGTCTTAGCACCTGGCACTTTGTGAGCCATCCCTAAATGCTATCAGTTCTTCTCTTAGGACTTTATTTTTTAACTGTTCCTAAGTTTTTTTTCAAAGCTTGTTGAGCTGTAGTGGACATACAGTCTGAACTAAGGGTGTCTCAAGAGTAACAGTTTCTGTGTAGTACATGAATGTGCTTTCTCCAACTAAATTTAAACTCTGAAACAAGGGTCACGCCTTACAAATGTTTGTCTCCTAAAGGCTTGTCACTTAGGTGCCCAGGGTCAGTGATAATGATTTCTAACCCTCCCAGTTGGTAATCTAGGGAATGCTGAGCAGTGGATTGGTTTTGATTTTATCATGTAAGTTTAGATGTTAGTTTTGAACAAGTTTGAAGTTATTTTAGAACACTTTTCCTCCAAAACTGGTGGTACATTTGATTTAGGTGTTTGTGTTCTGCCTGCCTGCCGTAAATTAAGCCTGGGTAAAAGTGTAGACTGTAGGGCTGGGTTGGGCACAGCCAGATCTGAAGAACTCCAGAGGGAAAACACGGTGGTGAAGTGTATTGCGTTAACGTAAACGAAGACGTCCAGCGGACTGGGGCTAGAGTGCTTGCCCAGAACATACTAGGCCCTCAGTAAATGCCTGATATTTAGTGGACAGCAATGGTCAGTAGTTACAGCTTCTACCAGCTCTTGGGAATTTAATATCTAAAGGTGACTATAGCAAGGGGAAAAGTGGAATTTGTTCAAAATAAGCTTCTTATAGTTCATTTCTGTCCTTTCCAGCAGAGTCTGTGTGAAAATGGTGGAAAATACATCCCACCTCATGTGCGGCGAGGTGAGGAGACAGCAGATGCCCAGAAAAAGGAAGAACTGGAGAGGCTAAAGAAACACGTCAAAGGTCTCATTAACAGGTGGCCTCGCAGTGTTGTTACATTGTGTCATTCAAAGAGATTGTCTCTTTTCTAAAAGTATGAAAACTACCCCAGAAATTAAACCATAAGTGACAGGGGCGGGGACTGCAGCTGTTGACTGGCTCCTTTCTGTTCCAGCCAGACCTGGAAAAGCAGGATGGCCGCCTTTTCTGTTTGGTGCTTTGAATTCTTAGAGTTTGAAAGCAAGGCAGGTGCCCGTGTGGTTATTCTGAGAAGTCCCGGGAATGGGGTGGAGTCGTGGTCGGTCCCAGGAGCAGTGGTGGCGGGACCCGTCCTCCTCCCTGCAGAGGCGAGTGCACGGCCCCGCGGTGGCACTCCCAGTCAGGAACACGGTCTTCCGTCCCCCTTGCTCATCACTCCTGTTTGCGTGTGTGCGGCTCTGTGCAGCGTCTCGCACAGGAAGCTCCTGGGACCTACCGCACAGTCAAGACAGAACTGTCCCAGCACACGCGGCTCTCTTGTGATACCAGTTATGAGCACTACACCATTGTTTTTCTTTATTATTTCTCTTCAATTAAAACAAAACTAGGGGCCGGCCTGGTGGTGCAGCGGTTAAGTTTGCACATTCTGCTTCTGGGCGGCCCGGGGTTTGCCGGTTCGGATCCCAGGGGTGGACATGGCACCGCTTGGCAAGCCATGCTGTGGAAGGCGTCCCACATATAAAGTAGAGGAAGATGGGCACAGATGTTAGCTCAGGGCCAGTCTTCCTCAGCAAAAAGAGGAGGATTGGCAGTAGTTAGCTCAGGGCTAATCTTCCTCAAAAAAAAAAAAATTAGAAAAAGAAAAAAAAAAACTCTTTCCATGGTCCATCCTGGAATTTTACCAAACGTGTTGCTTTGGTGTTCAGTGTTAGCACAGGAACAGTGCATAATCTTCCATGTGCATGTATATCCTTCCCTCCCCTTTCAGGAAACCAAGCACCCTCTTATCAGGGTTAGGAACTAAAGGTATTTATGGAAACAAAAAATTGGAAAAGTTGTCCTTTTTCCTAACAGCACATACTGATGTGTCTGGGATGGTTCCCTGCCTCTGCCTGGGGACATCCTGTCAGGATGCCAGTGGAGCGTCCTCATTACAGTCTCAGTGGCCTGAAGGAGAATCCTGCATGTGCCTCTCTGTGGCCACATTTCAGCTGGAAAGACGACAGTTAGATCATTTCAAGGTTTCACAGGATTATGTGTTACATAGGGTACATGCTAGGTTATGGGGGCAGGACAAGAATTGTTCATGGGTCGTGTGTACATAGAATAGGATGTATTGGTAGTATTGACAATTTTTTCGTTTTTTTAAATTGTCCTGAGAAATAATTCCTAGTTTGAAACATCCTTGCTGCTGTCTTTACGATCGTTGGCAGGTTGAGTGAAGCGAACATGGCCTCCATAAGCGGACAGCTGGAGGAGCTGTACATGGCCCACAGCAGGAAGGACATGAGTGACACTCTGACAGCCGTCCTGGTGAGCGCCTGCGCCCCGGCTGCGACCATGCCCAGCAGGCTGGTGATGGAGCACGTCCTCCTGGTCAGCATTCTCCACTGCACGGTCGGGATCGAGGTGGGGCTCCCTTCCCTCCAGTCTGGTGACGTGTCTACAGGATGCTTGTTTTAGTGACAGGCCTGATAAGGTCGATACTTGTCACTCTAAACGGCATTCCAGAAATCACTTGATTTTGGTCAACTTTTGCTTTTGTGTTTGGTCCATTCTAACATGTCTTTATTATTCTATTAGTTTATCTTCCTCCGGACTGACACCTTGGACTTGAGTTCATTTTCTGTGTATTCTTTGTATTCCGTTACTGTTAGTGACTTATTCCAGATGTTCAGAGTACAGATGTTTGTATGGTCTCACTACCACAGTATTCGTATTGGGTGGGAGGTCGTTCCTTCATAAGTAAGAGGGCTAGCAGAACGTGAGGTATTAAGGGAGAGACAGGGCCTAGGCTTGGAGCCGCCTGGGCTGCTGCCAGGGGGGCGCAGAGCTCCCCATGTTCTCTTCTGTTAGTCGGGCTGCAGCTGCTTCCCGTCGGGCCTTTGTCAGGATTAAATTGGATACATACATAAAGCACCTGCACGACGCCTGGTGTCGAGTAGGTGTCCCCACTCCTCCGGGGTGCTTCATCCTTGCCTGGTGACCCTCGGGGTTAGTGTCAGCCAGGCCCGGTGGTGACAGCTCTGGTTCCACAGTCACACACACCTCTGGGGTTGTCTTCTGTCGCCTGATAGGGTGAAATCATAACCTTCCCTCCACGTGGCTGATTCCAGGTGCTTGAGGGAAATCGGTCTGATGCCAGGAGTTTAAACTGGAGTGGGCGAACGGGTGGGCCATGAAGCGCACGAGGCTTGCTTTTCCCAGGTGATGTTTGTGTTCGGTACACGCACTCGTTGACCCCTTTGGATCTTTACGTGGTACATACGGTATCTTTTAATGTTAGCTTTTAGTTTCTTTCCCTTGTGATGGCCCTCGCCCCGAGAACAGGCCTTGGCAGCAAGGCCTGGCTGAGAGGCTGGTCACTGGTGTGAGTCTGCCCACTTGCTGTCTTACATCAGGTCCTCAGGTCTCCTAGCAAGATGAGCAGGGCAGATGTTTATTTAACCGCCTGTGCAACTGCAGCAAAGCCACGAATTGCCGTGCGATGTTGCCGAGTTCTGTGCCAAGCACTCTGGCCCTTGTCTTCAGCTCCGGGCTGGCCACCAGCTGCCACAGCACCCTTCACTCAGCTCGTCTTCCTGGTGTTTGCTCTCAGTCACAATCTTAAAGTCATTTGGAGTCTGAGAGAGTGGACCTGTCCAGGGATTACTTTAGAATCCTCAAATTTGCGAAAAAAGAATCCTCGTTCATGTGTTAGGGCTCCGTGGTGAGAGCAGCAGGGTACGTGGGGAGGATGCTACCCACGTCCAGAGCGCGGCTGTACTGTGTGCCGCTGTGGCCTGGGGAGCTCTGCCTCCGTGTCTTCCTCTGGAGAGTTGGTTTAGTGAGTTTTACGTGTAGTGTGTCTCCAGGAGCCTGGCCCATGTAGCTGCTCAGAAAAGGTTAGTCCTGATTGACTTCTGCACGATACAGAAGGGCGTTTTCAGGTTGAAATTCCGCTCTTCCTCCCACGTTCTCCTCACTGGCCTTTCCTGCCACTGCAGGCTTCATCGCTCTTTGTAGAGAACCTTCTGAACCACATTTCTCTCATCTAGCCGTAGTCACATGGTGGGACTCTTGAACGATGGAGCCTTTGGGGCCTCCTGGGCATTGGTAGGCAGGGACAGAAGAGAGAGGCGTAGGCCCCGGGTCTTCTGAGCGGCAGGACTCTCCTCAGCTACCTCCTCACCAGCGATTTAGGGCATCGTTCTTCTGAAGTAGCTTTTATCTCTAAGAGCTGTGCTTGCTCTCACATGACGCTGAGTCCTTCTCTCCATCGAAGTGTGATGGCATCACAGACCCGGTCCTGGTGCCCTGTGATGGCCGTGATCCAGTGCTGTCGTAAGGCTCTTAGGGCACCCTGTCCCCCTGGATCGTGCCACGGTGCTTCATAATCAACACGGTCTCACAGCAGATGGCATTTCATGGAGTTAGAGTAAGAGCTGTGGGCCGTGACCGCCCACAGCATATCAGGAATTCCTGGACCTGAGAACATGGGATTACTCATGAAACCTTCACTGACGGCATGAAAGGCGCTGAAATGGCTCATTCCAGGGAGTCGTCATGGCGCTTTAGCTGATGACGTCCACTAGAATTTCTACCCGCGTCTGATGAGCTCTCAACGCTGGTTCCATAAACAACTTCCAGTTCTAGAAAGAAAAACATCCTCACAGGAGTTCATGGAAGGAGAAAAGTGAGTTACGGAGACCATGGTGTCATCACCGAATTGCTTCTGAGTCATTTAAAAATCAAAAGTCAGGTCTTTGGTCATGAAGCACACGGTGTTGATCATGCTGTTGCTCATAGCGATACGCTCTGTGACATAGCAGGCGGTGAGGTGGTGCTTGTCCTTCACAAACACAGTGGGGCAGAAGTCGCGCACGATGCTGAAACCGTAGGAGGGCGCCCAGCACAGCACGGAGGCCGTGAGGATGCATATGAGCACCAGAACCGTCTTCCGGCGGCAGTGCTGCCGCTTCCGGATCTGCTCGGTCTGGAGACCAGACACGGCCTTGAACCACAGCTCCGAGAGATCCTGGCGTAGCACAGGGTCATGGTGACCACGGGGCCCATGAACTCGGTGCCGAAGAGGAAGTAGGACTTGTAGTAGAGCCGCTGGTGCACTGGCCAGATCTGACCACAGAAGATCTCTTCCTGGCCTTTGACAATAAAGAGGACAGTTTCTGTTGCAACGTAGGCGGATGGGATAGTGATGAGAATGCACCCCATCCAGACCAAAGCAATCAGGAAGGAGGCCGTTTGATAATTCATCCCTGGTTTCAAGGGGTGAAGGGTAGCGAGATAATCTGGTAGGGGAAGGAAGCCAGCAATAATAAAGATGTGTACTTGGAAACATTATTAGTTTTTAACTAACCCCAAACACGCACGAAAGCAGACAAAATGGCACGAGTCTCCGTGTGCCTGTTATCCAGCCTCAACAAGCTTCGTCTTGTTTTAGCAACGTCATTTGGCATCTGGAGTGGTGGAGTGGTTTAGTGGAAACAGCACAGGCTTTGGGTCAAACAGCTACCTTGCAGGGCTGTGTGCACATTAGATGTGATTTTATAAAATGCTTGGCATGTAGTAGGTGTTCAATAAATACACGTGGCCTATTAGTAGTAGTATTAAAAGAAAAAGTTAGGACTTTACAGATTTGTTAAAATCCCCAAGTCAAAATTAATGTGTATGCTTAAATATCTGGAACAAAATAAATAGTAGTCCTTTTTTAAATGTTATACTAAGTTATATTTTACTTTGAAGTCATTAAATGAAATCTAAAACTTTGATATAGTTAAATAATTCTGTTCATGTGATTGAAAACCTACCTGGGTATATTTTATGCCTGAATTGTTTTTGCTGTCTGCAGAATTTTTATTTCTTAAGTTATATTTGAACATTATATAGTAGTCATAATGGGTCCTCAGGTTTATCTTTAGTGAAAGGACTTGAATTGGCAGTTTACCAGTTAAATGTATTTGTTGGGTCTCAGGTCTTTAGAAACGTTAGTTCTTTAGAACATGTCCACTTGGTCAGAGCCGGCCTCCGTGAAGTCACTGCTCCCTCCTGCCCAGCTGGTGCCTTTCCTGGATTCTTGTAGCATTTATTTCTGGCAGTTTATCCGTGATCTGTGTGTGTTTTCCCATTACACCCCGACCTGTCTGCTTGATCTCGTCTTCACCCACGATTTTGACCACCACTCACATATGTACAGCCGGCCCTCCCTGGCCGCCCTGCAGTTCAAGCTTCATGTCTTAAACCGAGTTTATCCAGCCCCACCAACCTGCTCTTCCTCAGAGGTTTAGTCTTCCAGTTAGAAGCTCTGTCATCGCCTGTTAGCCAGACATTTAATCTTCCACATCCAGTGACTGGTCACGCTGCTGGTTCTGTCGCTGCATCCCTCTCGTGCCCGGTCTTCCTTCCTGGGTCCAGCCTGGCTGCGTTGAGTCATGTCATCATTTCTCCACTGGAGTGTTGACGTCACTCCATGCCACCACCATGTCCCTGCTTCCAGCTTCTCCACTCTCAGCTTGAGCTTGAGACCTGAGTCTTGTTTGATACTTGTATGTTTTTAGAGATGTAGATACATTCTTAACATTGTTAACAAGGTTACTTTTCCAAGGAACCAGAATGTCAGCTGGCCAAGAATACCACACTGTGGATTTTGAAGACGGGCAGGTGGACTTACAGTGGCGGCTCGAGCGGTGGTGCATTGCTCTGTGTGGTGGCTCACTGCTTGTGTCCTCACATGCAGAGCGCTGTACACGCAGACTGATGTTTTCAAAGTCTGCGTCCGACCATGTGCACATTTCATGCGTTAGTTTAAAAAAGACTAATTCTTTCCACATACGCTCAAGTTTGTTGAAAGAGGAAGAGAGTCTCTGAGAACCTCTTGCTAATGTTTGATGTTTACGTGTTTCCAATGATATTTTTCCTGCCTCCTTTGTCCAGGTCGGCGCTCACTTTCTGGAAGCTGTGGTGAGGAAGTTTGATGACGTCTATAAAAACAGGAGTGAAGGCAAAGAGTGTGACAACCTGTTTTCCATCATTGCCCATTTATATAACTTCCATGTGGTACATTCTCTCCTCATCTTTGACATTTTGAAAAAGCTTATTGGAACTTTCACAGGAAAAGATATTGAACTGATTCTGTTAATGCTGAAAAACGTCGGCTTTTCGTTGAGAAAAGATGATGCTTTGTCACTCAAGGAACTGATTGCTGAGACACAGGCCAAGGCCAGTGGGGCGGGCAGCACGTTCCAGGACCAGACCAGGGTACGAGTGCACCACTTGACCTGCTTCCTAAACGCTCACAGACTGGCCAGAACGTAGAAATAAGTATTGGGGTAAATACCGTGTTTAATTTCCTGGTGATCCCTGTCATCTTCTGCCTCATCTGATTTTGTGGCTTTGTCTTTAATATGTGAACGAACCTTGTTTATTTACTAAGAACTCAGGTATTCTGTGAATTTAAGAATTGATTTATTTAACATTTATCCATTCAAACAATGTTCACTGAGGAAGGCCATGTGTACAGGGCTCAGGTACAGGGCTCAGGTGCCAGTCCGCGTGGCTGACCGCTGGCTCTGCTGCTTGACAGTGACAGGCCTGGGCGTGGCTCCTACCTCATCTGCTGCTCTGCAAGTTGAGAGGTACCACGGTGAATGTTCAGAGGTCAAGTTTAAGACACAAAAGTTGGCGGAAACGGAAAGTAGACTTGTGGTTGATGAAGGCTGGTGGAGTTGGGGAATGGGTTTGGAATTTCTTTGGGGCTGATGAAAATGTTCTAAAATGGATTGTGATGATGGTTGCAGAACCCTGTATGTGTTAATTGTACGTTTAAATCGGTGAGTTTTATGGTATATGAATTATATCTCAATGAGAAGTTAGCATTTGGGGCCAGCCTCCTGGCGTAGTGATTAAGTTCACACACTCCCCTTCAGCGGCCCGGGGTTCACGGGTTCAGATCTCAGGTGCGGATCTACACACCACTCATCAAGCCATGCTGTGGCGGTATCCCACGTACAAAATAGAGGAAGGCTAGCACAGGTGTTAGCTCAGGGCCAGTCTTCCCCACCCAAAAAAAAAGTTAACATTTGGCGAAATCTCAGAGAAGGGTATATGGGATTCTTTGTACTGTTCTTGCAACGTTTCTCTCAGTATGACGTTATTTCCAATTTAAAAGTTGAAAAGTAGTAAAAAGGCCAGGAGTGGGAAAGAAGTTGAAAATACAGTGGAGAGGAGGGGGTAACTCAGAGCAGGTCCCCAGGAGGCAGGAGAGCACAGGTGATCGGACAGGAGGGGCAGTGGCTGATGACGATGGGAGGACAGCCATGGAGGGAGAGGTCAGAGGCGGTGGGGAGTGGGAGTGCGAGCTGAGATCTTGGGGTAGTGTTCAAGGTCCCAGGTGAGGCCGGGTGACAGTTTTATATTAAAGTATCGTGTAGCCCTGAGCAAGATGTTCAAGTTAGTGGAGTCCATTTCCCTGAAGACCGTCTCTGATTTATCATCAGCAGTGAGGACCATGTGCACAGAGTTGCTTTATTTCTTCCCAAGGTGAAGGGTCAGTTGTTGAGATAATTTGAAATGATGGTTTTTCTTGTTTTGTCTTTTTTAAGGTTCGGTTCATGCTAGAGACAATGCTGGCGCTGAAGAACAATGACATGCGTAAGATTCCAGGCTACGACCCTGAGCCTGTGGAGAAGCTGAGGAAATTACAGAGAGCTTTGGTAAATCACTTCTACTTCTAACTTGTTTTGAGCCTCCACGTCTATGAGAACCTATCGTGAAAATCGAGAAGGTGATTGGAGCCAAGTTGGGTGCCACGTCTGGTTAATAAGGTTCCGGGAAATCAAAAGGGAGTCTCATGTTTCTGCACTGAGACCCTCTGAGTGGTCTGTGTGCAGGGGAGTCCCTGTGAGTTAAACATCCCCACGCTCAGCCTGTGCTGCTATAGACAGCTGCCCAATAGAATCTTCTGGACACTTTGAAAGAGGCCCCAGGCCAGGGTCCCACCCAGACCAGTGAAGTTAGCTCCCTGGGTGTTCCTAACATGGAGCCACAGCTGAGACCCACTGACCTCCCCCATCAGGGCGAGTCCTTCAGCCCAGGTCTTTGGTCAGATCCAGAATCGCTGACTCTGCCAAATCCTGGGCCCCTCCTGGTATCCCTGCCAGCCTGACGGAGCTGTCCTTGTGGCCTCTGAGTCTGAGCCTTCCCCTGGTGTGACATTTTCCAAGACAGTGGTACGTAGGGTGGTAGACCACAAGCCTCAACCATAAATCCTGGGAGTTTACCTCTCCCTTTAGCGTTATTCCCAACAGGTGAGCTCTCCCAGTTGTCAGTGACTCACACAGTGTTCATGCACCAAAAATGCTATTATCCAGAAAAGGAGAAGCCCAGGGGTGACGGCATTACAGACTGAGCCAACTAGAGCGCCTCACCAGCGCCTTTTCTCTCTCTCAGGTTCGCAGTGCCGGCTCAGGCACGGAGACTCAGCTCCGCGTCTCCTGGGACAACGTCCTGAACGCCGACCAGACCGGGCGCTGGTGGATTGTGGGGTCCGCGTGGAGCGGGGCCCCAATGATTGACAGCGGTCAGCAGAAGATCCCGCAGAAGCAGCTTGCAGGGACGGTACGAGACCGTGCTCACCACCGCCTGGCGTGTTGTCTAGGTCCCCCGCGGCGTCTCCCTGCGCCTCTCCCTGGAGTGACCTCCTCATTATTCGTGGGGTGGTCACCGAGATGTACGGACAGGGCTTTATTTGAAGACCGTGTAGAAGTTGCCATTATTTTGTGATATAATTTAATTCGAGTTCTTTTTTTTTTTTTTTGAAGTCCCAAAACATGTTACATAAAAGACTTAGAAGTTGAATAGAATGAGAGGAGTGTACGAAACTCAAAACGCTCCTGTTGCAGATACCGTTTCTTGAGACACAGAAGCAGTTTCCCAGGAGACGTGGCTTGTAGTCCATTAACTTCAGACTTCAGATTGCCAGAATTGTTTGCACTTCTTTGTATTTTATTATTAACTAAAGTCCGTATGTTACTCAGATTTCCTTCATTTTTCCCTAATATCCTTTTTCTGTCCCAGGATCGCCATCACACTTTGTCGTCCTTGCTCCTCTGGCTGTGGACACTTATCTCTCTTATTTTGTTGTTGCTTAGACTGACCGATCACACCACTGCTGAGAAGTCTCTATCGCTTGCACTGTCCCTTGAAATTTTTTCTCTTTCTAAGGGGCTGCCCAAGAACAAAAATTAAGTATTTACATACAATTTGTAATTGTGCATCAGTCAAAGCACAAAATATTCATGTTATTTTTTAGAAATTTAACTTCAGTAACTACAGTAAACCAAAGCAGCAGATTTCATTGAGACATTTGTATGATCTGTGCCTCAATCATCCCTCTTTTCAGGTTAGCTCAAAGATACTAGAACTCGCCCGAAAGCAGAGAATGAACACCGACGTCAGGAGAAACATATTTTGTACGATAATGACGAGTGAAGATTTTTTGGACGCATTCGAAAAGCTTCTAAAGTAAGCATTTGTGTGAGCGTTTTCACTTCCACGTAGTTAGATGTCGTGGCAGAAGTGAGGGGAGGTGCGGTGTGCACTTGGAGGGTTGGTCAGAGCAGCTTGGGAGGGGCTGGGCTCTGCCTGTGCCTCCCACCCGGGATCAGGTGTCCCCTGGGCAGCACTCTTGCTCCTACTAATTGGCCACCGGTGGTTCCAGATTAGAACATTTTGGGATATGTTTTGATTAAAGGTGTTAGATGACCAGCTGGTAATTCTGAGACTGTTGCTTGTCATGAATTGCTTAAAATCTTCATATTAAAGTTGTCTTTCTAATTACTTCTAAATTAAAAACTTCCTGGTATAGTTTCTGTAAGTAGTTGTGATAAGATTTTAAAAGTATCTGTGACTTTTACAAAGTACTTCGAAACAAATCTGAGATTAGTTAATTTTCCTTTCTTTCTTCACGTTCAGAGTGAAGTACTGGGGAAGCATTATGGGACTGCAGACACTTGTCCACACTCAGCACTGTACCCTGAGAGGATGGGTGTCACCGTGTAAAAATTAGACCATAAGTGTTCAAAAAGAAAAAAATCCAACAGTGTGGCGGCAGGACCCTCACTTGGAGGCTCGCGGTTGAGTGTTGGTCCTGTGTCCTCTCAGTCAGGAGCCAGTTTCAGCCCTTTGTAGCTGGCACAGGACTCAGGCCGGGGTCTCTCCCAGGTCTTGCTACTTTGTCAGAAGCACTGAGGCCGGAGAGGTTAGGGACAGGGCTGGGCCTCGAGCAGGAGCCACACCTGCTCTTGTTACCACACCTCCTCTGCCCAGCTCACTGCTAACCACACTGCCAGGCAGGCTGTGTTCCTCTGAAAGAACTCTGCCTTGAAGCTGTTAAAACTGGGCAAACTGAGGATTTCTGAGGCTTTGCGGTTTCTGTTTTACAGGCTTGGCCTTAAGGATCAGCAGGAGAGAGAAATAGTTCATGTTCTCATGGATTGCTGCCTTCAGGAGAAGACATATAATCCTTTCTATGCCTTCCTGGCCAGCAAGTTCTGTGAGCATGAAAGGAGGTTTCAGGTAACTTACCTGGAGGGCCACCGTCACCCATGTTTTCTCTGAGCAGTCTGCTGGGCTCAGCCCGCCTAAAATGAGTGCCCAGAGTCAGGAGTTGATCGGGGTTGGAGAGCTGTGTGCAGTGGGTCGGTTATGGTCCACGCCTGCTACCAGGCCCACCTTCACAGGGAGCAGGTGGGCACAGCTGAAGTGGAGTGCCCGGGGTCCAAGATGTTCTCCATGTCACCTTTTCCATCACAGATGAGGGAGTTTCACGGCCGGTTAACCAGTACCTCTCCTCTCTGGGTTTGTACTGCATCATCCTTCTCTAATGTTCTTCTCTAGTATTTCTGCTGATTTGAAGGAAGAGACTCCAACAGAAAGAAATTATTGTGAAGCCACTTCAAACTACTGTATATAGGAAAGGAGAGGGTAGTTGCCCCTAAAAGTCTTGATTTTTTTAGGATATTACAAATAAGTGAATATGTAGAATAACTTTAGATTACATTCTTAGTGATTTATTCTTTACATTTTAACTTTTTTTCTTCTTTTTAATTGTTATATTAGATGACTTTCCAATTCAGCATATGGGACAAATTTCGGGACCTGGAAAATTTGCCAACCACTAATTTTTCTAATTTGGTTCATCTGGTGGCCCACTTGTTGAAGACGAAATCACTTCCACTTTCCATTTTAAAGGTTTGTGTAATGCATGAAATTATTAAAAGAAATGATAACGATAGTGTAATTGCTTGTATTTGGTACCTTAAAAAAACCATTTCCTTAGATTCTGACTTACCTGAAAAGAGTTTTCGTTATCGTAGCCATCATAGAAAACAGCCAGGTCAGGATAAATTTAGCTGGTACAGTGAGGCACAGTGACGGTGGTTCTGCTCGCCTAGGTGAACCCGTTCCGGGGTCTGGGCTTCCTGTGCAGGTCCTGATTATAAATCCCACACTGGCTGCTGACCTGTTGGGAGTGAGATGGGGAGATGTGGGAGCTGGTCTCAGGGCTGTGGTGCTGGCGCTCGGCGCTCTCTCCCTCCATTGCAGGCGGTTTCAAAGCAGTGGTGGGACACAGATGCCCTGGTGTTGGTCTGGAGTGGACACAGGAGGTGGGGTTCAAGGTGGCCAGCAAGCCCTGGGTAGTGGGACCACTGGGGGCTGGGTGTCCTGAAAATGTGGACGATGGGAAAACCTGGGGGTCAGAGCCTGTACTCTGAGCCTTCTGCCTGATCTCAGGACGGACTGCAGCCTCTGCTTCCGGTTTCCGTTTGTGTGCGCTCCCCAGGGCACTTCCACAGGTTGACCTGGTGTCTCTCTGTGGTGTGGTGTTGGGTTTTGGCCACTGTACTGAATATGAGGGTGCTGGAGTGTTATACCACATCCCAGAAATGGGAACAATTTAAAACATGGAGAGTACACGCCTTCTCCCTGCTGGAGTAGATCTTGCCTTCAGTTCACTCCAGTTTTGAGCTCGGAGTGGAGTGGGACCCATGTTTTCCTCAGACGCAGTAGAGCTGCAGGGGCCTAGAGGTGATGTCCTTGGCACTGCCCCTGGGCCCTCTTGTTCCCAGGCAGGCTTTTGTGCTCTTACTGCACCTCTGTCAGCAACGGCTTGTAATCTCCTCTGCACGCGTTTACCCTCTGCCGGGTGAGGTCGTGCTGTCACCGTGCTCGTGACACCCTTCCACAGTTCTTTTTTCATTCAGCCTAGGTTGGAGATTTATCCATGTTGGTATCTGTAATTCTATTCTCTGGTTTTATCACTGCTGTGTAGTATTCTACCAAGGAGGTATACTATCGTTTATATATGTTGTCTCAGGAATACAAATGTCTCTGTATGTGTGGGTGAATTAGTCCCTCCCAGATCTAAATTCTGTATATGTGTGTGTGCGTGTCTGTATGTGTGGTTTTAACTAGGGTGTAGTTTCTTTAAAGCATGGAGATAGTACAAGTTTCAATTCTGGCTGTTAAATTCCAGATTCATAAGGTATGCACCCCGTAAGCTTACTTCCATTGTCGAGTGGCTCTCAGCAGTGCTCGCACCCACTGCCAGCAGCGCCTAAGAGGTCCCATGGCCCCACGTCCTTGCCAACAGCTGTTCATGTTATAAAACTAGAAATAGCCTTACTTGGAGGGGGAGTAATTTTTTCTCTGATTAACTGTATTTGGAAATCACTGAAGAAGTTGGTAAGTCGGTGTAACTTTATTTTTCTTTCCATCCTCACTCTGTTAGGTGGTTGAATTCAGTGAATTGGACAAACCCCGAGTCCACTTTTTACGGAAAGTGTTATACATACTGTTAATGGAAACAGAGGTTGAAGACCTTGGTTTAATTTTTGCAAGGTATGTTCCCAGCTTGTTCTGATAAAACATAGGGGAAAGAGGTGAGGAGAAATTATTGTCACTTATGTTGATTTATAAAAGCAAAGCGGTTGTTCTAAAAAGTCATTTCCAGTTAATTTTAAGCTAATATCTTACACGTTAGACTTGAGAAACATGGAACTTGCCTAATAGCAAACTGATAATGATTTCTAACACAGAGGGTATGTTACATTCTCAACTGAGAGTTCTGTTTGTAGGAGAACCTAGGTTACGTCTCCCTGTTTGAGATTCCTAGGCTGAGATCTGGGAGAGCCTGTTTCATCCCTCATAACGTTCCTGATTCCTTTCCAGAGTATCTGACAACCCAAAGCTCGGCATGTTGCGAGAAGGCCTGAAGCTTTTCATCAGCCACTTCTTGTTAAAGAGCACGCAGGCCCACAGCAGCGCGGAGGAGGCCAGCACGCTGAGAGAGAGAGCTGATCTCGCGGCAAAGTCTCTGCAAGGAAAGGCTTCCTTGAGAATGTAGTCCAGAGGAATGGGAGCACGGGCGGGTCATTTGTCTGTGAGATTCCTTTTAAACCCAGGAGGCCTGTTGTTGTGCTGACTGTAAAAGCTTAGTGGAGCTGTATCGGGGTCGTTGTATTTGAAATATTTTGAGAATTTTGGGATCCAGGGTTATATTGTATTTGTATTTTAAACCATTTTTAAATAACTATATATATGAGGCAGGGTGGACGAGAAGGCAGGAGGGGCAGACAGGACAGTGATCTCTGAGTAATGAGACTGGTGTGTGGGGTGCAAGGGTGCGCACGTGCATGTTTGTCTTATATTTTTAATAGACAAAATGGGCCACCAGAGGGTGCAGTTCTTATAAAGAAACTGATGTATTTTTATTTTTTATATATTGGTTAAAAGTTCAAAAACCATCAGTTAAATGTGGTGCCTCATATTTAATTGATTATTTAAAGTATTTGGAGCACAAGTGTTTTGGAAAAGTCAACGGTCAACTTAAGCCTTGCAAATATCGGTGCAAGATAGTATGTATGGGAGTTTTTCTTCATTATTTATCCAAAAATCAGACTTGGTGAAGCATGTTCCCTCGTTTGTGTCCATCGCCGTAGTCGTCAGTCCAGGCTGTGCTGCGCGCTCCTGGACCAGCCGAGACGGCGCTTCGGGGGCGCTGCCGGCCAAGCTGGGCTCTCGGAGGCGCGTGCGGAGGAAGCGGAGCTGCTCCTGCAGGGGCAGACGTCCAGTGAGACACACACCACGCCTCCTCCAAGTCCGGCAACCGATTCTCCAGGAAGTGAAATGCCCTGGCACACCTTCTGTCTGCTGCAGATTCAGACGTCTGTGGTTTCTCCAGGCCTTAGAATTTGCTCCTCTCTCTCAAATGCTGCAGACTTGGCTTAAACGTCACCTTCGGGTGTTGAAAAAAGTCACCAAGACATGAGTATAGGATAGTGTTCTACATACCGTGTGCGCACACGTACCCGACAGCACGCTATCCTTCGGAGTGGCCCCCTGGGAACGCTGCGTGAGCAGAGTGAGGTCGCTCCTGTCCAGACCCCCCATTGGTCATGCGCTTTCAGATGGTGTCCAGTGTGACCCCACAACAGCTCGTGTTTGGAGATCATCGTGTGAAGCTGTGAATGAACTAGTGGTTTAAGTGTCCAATGTGCCAGGAACGTAAGAAGCTGTTCCTCCTCAGGTTAGCGTGAGTCTTCACCCTCCGTTCAGGAGGCACTGACGGCCGCGCTGTAGCCACAGCCCTGCGTCTGTCGGCCGCGTCCGACCCTAGAGGACAAAGGAGGCAGCTGCAGGCGCTGGGGGTGCGCGGCGTGAGCTCCCGCAGTTCATTAAGGGGCTTTATTAAAACTGTCTGCTGGGTGGTGCTGGGGTGCAGGAGGCCGGCTCTGCTCCCGGCGCCTGCCCACGAGGCCAAGGAGCCGAGCTGGAGTGTGACAGCACGCTGCTGCCGTCATCCAGAGTCCTGCTCTGAAGAAGGAAGTGCCAGTTCAGTGACGCTGGCCTTACGTTCTGGTAAGCCCCTGTCTCCGAGCCTTCGCAGACTGGCGGCCGGTGCGTGGCCCACCCCTGAGTAGCGCTGAGGTAGCAGACTGAGTCAGAATCAGTTATGGGCAAATGTCACTGCGCTGCTGCCATCTAACTTCATGCGTCTTGTGGTCACTAAACCTTGTTGAGGTGTAGCGGAGCTCGAGCTGACTCCTGTAGAAGATAAACTTCTGTAAACTGAATCCCATTTTTATCTTGTCCTTTATTATTAAAATAAAAATGTCTTGGGGCCGGCCCCGTGGCCAAGTGGTTAAGTTCCCATGCTCCGCTTCCGTGACCCAGGGTTTCGCTGGTTCAGATCCTGGGTGCAGACATGGCACTGCCCATCAGGCCATGTTGAGGTGGCGTCCCACACAGCACAACCAGAGGCACTCACAACTAGAATATACAACTGTGTACCAGGGGGCTTTGGGGAGGAGAAGAAGAAAAAAAAAAGATTGGCAACAGGTTTTAGCTCAGGTGCCAATCTTTAAATAAATTAAAATGTCTTTCTCTTTGCCATGCAGTCTGTTTGTGTCGTAATTCATTGCCTAAGTTTTGCAGTTGTTATATGGCAGGTTATCCATAAATCTGTCCTTTTTAAGTGTAAAACCCCTTTTTAACAACAAAACGTCATGGGTTATCACATGATAGTTACACTTTCAGTTGTATAAGTAGATCTTGGCCAAAAGCTACTGTGAATTCAGAATTGCTTTAAGTATGGCCACGCACCACATGATGACGTTTCAGTGGGTGACGGAGCACAGAGACGACGGCGGTCCCAGAAGATCAGCGCCACAGCCCAGGTGTGTAGCCGGCTGCGCTGCAGGTTCGCGTGAGCACAGTCTGATGTTCGCACAACGACAACGCCGCCCAACAACGCTTTTCTCATCGTATCCCTGTCATTAAGTGACTCGTGACTGTACACAGGTTTTTGAAATTCATTACAATGGTCTGCGTTTGAAAAATACTGCAAGGTGCTTAGACAACGCTTGGTGTATATGTGGACTTTTGGACTTCTGTGATGCAGGCTGAGAACTGCTAATGTATAACATTTCTGAGAGGGAACTTTTCAGGAATTAAATACATTTAATACATTTAATGTATTAAAGTGTGTGAATAAAATCTATTTTTTATATTTTCTTTAGAGTACCAGTGAAGGTTTATTTTGAAAGAAGAGGTTTGCTGGTTTACTAAGGTCTACACCTTATCTTTCTATTTTTAAGAACTCCACCTAGCATGTGGTTTAGGCCACATCTGAAGTATCTGTGTGTGTGTCTCTGTCTCTGTCTCTCCGTGTCTGTCTCTCCCCCACCTCCTCCCCTCCCCTCCCCCTTTGCCTGCAGACAGACATGGAGCACATGAGGCAAAATGTTAACCATTGGCGAATCTGAGTGAAGTTTATAAGGATGGAGGATATTCTTGCACCTTTTCTGTAAGATTAAAAGTATTTCAAAACAATTTTTATAAAGCATTCGTAATGCAGAACTCGTTCTTCAAAGGTCTAAAATATTCTCATGTTTTTTCACAAAAATAATTAAGCTGACTAACTCAAATCTCCCTCACCTCGTGGGACGGTTAATTAGGCCTTCCTGTAGAACAGGTCCTGTGTGCGTCGCTGCCTTCGGCTTGTTCTGGGGCAGCCTTGGCTCCCTGTGCGCTGCGCCTGGGTCAGCGGGAGCCAGGGAGGAGGGAGGGAAGGTCCCGCGTGAACTGAGGTCACGGCGCACTGTGACCAGAGCCTCAGGATCAAAGCTGGCGCTCCGGGCCTGGGAGCAGTGGGCGCCAGAGACCGAGCTCTCCAGGCACTCGGCTGCTGGCCAGCATCCAGCGCGGGACTTCTGTAAGGACTGAGACGGGGTGTGCTGCAAGACGCCAGCACCCTTCATGCCTATGGCGGACGCCCTGAGCTCGGGGTTGCGTGGATTTGTTTCCGGTGGTGGGTTGGTTGGTAGGTAGGTAGGTAGGTAGGTAACGAGGTCCAAGGATTTTTTCTGAACCTCTTGAGAGGAGGCTGCATCATCAGATCCCTTTGCCGTAAGTGACTTTGTGTTCATTTCCTAAGAACAAGAACACCCCCTTCTCTAACCACCGTCTAGTTAGCAAAATCAGGAAACTAATGCTCATGGAACTCTGGGGACAGGGTCCCATAATTTGGGTTTTTGTGCTGTTTCCTGATAATCTGGGTTACACTTTTGTTTACGTTCTCCGTGGGTCCCATCAGGAGAGACAACGGCTTTGCCCTGTCCCGTGACGGTGACTTTGATCACTGGTGAAGGCAGGGTCTGCTAGGGTCCTCCACTGGGCAGCGAATATTGTTCCTTTTGCAATTAACAAGCAGTGTGTAGGAACTGTATCAGTCTACTGCTGCCTATCAAGTCACCCCACAGCTTAACCGTTTAAGACAGAAGTCACTTGCTCTCTGGGTTCCTGTGCGTCACGTTCAGGAGCAGCTGGGCTGGGCAGTTCTGGGTCAGTCCTCACGCACCTGTCATGTCACCTGCAGCCGCATCATCTAAAGGCTTGATTGGGGCTGAGCAGTATTTCTGTTCACTCTGCAGCAGACACAGGTCTGTGCTGTGTGGCTTTGGGAAGTGTGACTGATTGCCCGCGGAGGGGGCTGCGTGCCTGCCTGCGGCTTCAGTCACACGAGAAGCAACAGCTGTGGGCAGCACGTCTCAGGTGCCGATCAATGGCAAGCAACCACAGTGACCGTCTCAGCTGGCATTTCACGGCACTGCACCCATGTCTGCCACTGCGTCCCCTCCAGAGGGGTTTTGCTGAGATCAAATGATGGGAAAATACTTCAAAAACTGTCCTGCAGAATAAAAGTGCTTATAAATATACTGGGTTTTCCCAGTGTTCTCTTGGTTTTTATTATACGTGATCACGTTAAAATCAGCCTGTCTTACTTGAGGCCCAGGATCTGAATGCTTTGTCCTATTCTCACCTCTCCCAGCCCACTGTGCAGGTGCCTGCCAGGGACACTGCCTGCCTCCGAGGCTTCATCCTTTCATGCCCCCCAGGCCCTGGATGGACTGAGGGGACCAGGAAGGGGAACAGGCTGGCAGACAGGTATGGCCTGGGAGCTCTGCTCTCCAGTGGCATCCAGGGTTCTGGGTTCTCATTGGGTCCGATGCTCTCTCTGGGTTCAGGATGCAGGGGAGGATGAGTGGTAGTGATGGAGCAAGCATGGGCCGAAGGAAGGCAGTGAGCAGGCACCGTGGGCTGGAGGGCAGAGAGAAGACGGCACGAATTCGTCCATCAGCAGCACCTGGGTGAGTAGAGGCCGAGAGTAGCCAAGTCAGCACGGTGGTAGCACCCTAGAGTGGACTCCAGCAGAGGACACCCCCTTCTGGGGCGTGATGGCCTGCAGCCCACCCCCGCCTGGTGCTCCTGCCTCTGCTGCCAGACCAGGGACAATAGTAGGGACCTGCGTCTCAGGCTCCCCCGCAGCAGGGGGCTGGTGGTGACGAGCCTGGCGTCTGCAGCATTGGAGAATGTCCTGCTTGGTATTACTGGTCCCGGTGAGGCCCCCAACAGCCTTTTCTTTGCCTCATTCCTCCTCTGATTGCCCCCATCACCGACAACTGGACCGCGCATCTCTTTATTGTCGGTCCTGTGAGGACAAACAGCATCCTAAGGAAAGACGTGACAGTAGCAGGGTTGCCCTCAGGGGGCTTCAAGTGTTATTTGTTGTGGCGGGATTCCACAACGGGTGTTCTTCTCGTGAATCTCACGCCTGTGGGTAATTCACCCTCAGCTGTCGACGCTGTGTGTGGATGTGTTTGCTCCAGAGGCCGTGGTGTCCCTGAGTTACATCAGTGCGAAGCCTCTTGTAAGGAGGACCAGGCAGGAGTGGGAATTGGCTGATCCATCCAACAATTGCCGGGCACCACCCTTGCACTGAGCCCTGGGACACGTCAAAGAGTTCAAAGACGTCACTTAGGTTTGACAGAACATGTCCTGTGGCGAAAACGCACCAAAATTGTGCCAGGACAGCCAGCTATTCCCAGCAGGACGGGATGGAGAGCCGTCCAAGAGGAGCCGAGAAGCGGGCTTTGGGAAGAAGGAAGGGCACAGCAGAGGAGAGGCGGCCACCAGCGCAGATCCTGGGCACAGAGCCCGGCTGTGGCTGGGCTGGGGACACAGGACGGCAACAGCAGGTGGTGCTCGAGAAACCTGACCCGGAAGGGCTGCTTTTTCCATGCTGAGGGGTCAGGGTTTACCTAGCCACTGACGGGAAATGATCAAGGGATTATTGGCAAAGGAGTTAAAAAAATCAAAGTTGTTCAAAAACATTGCTGGACAAAGGAGGGCGCTGGATGGCCGAGGGTTGGAATGCCGGCAACCGGGACGCCGGTCAGTGGACTCCTGTCACCTTCCTGACGCACCGGCTGAGAGGGCAGCTGAGAACACAGGTTTCCAGGGACGTTGCTGATGGACCGCATCAGGAGTTGGTGCCTTGACACAAAGGTCCAGGGAGAGGGAGGGGGGATGGGATGACTCCAAGGACGTGGTGCCTCTTCAACATTGAGCGTCCTGGCGCCTGTGGAACCCGCGGAGGCCAGGGTGGAGGGGCGCAGACACACCGCCTCCATGTGGTAGCCTCGGGGCCCCAGGAGTGGGGATCCCTCGAGGACGGTGAGGTTGGGAGAGGAAGAGGACCAAGAACACAAGAGGGAAGCCCAAGGGGGGAGTTGGAAACAGGTCATGGAGTTTGGCTTTGGGAACCATCTAGAATCGATTCAGGCTCCTCCCAGCGGCAGTGGTTCTGTGACAGTGGAGGCAGCTTCACCCAGACATGGCACATTAACTAAAGCACTCTGAGCTTTTTGACACCCTCACTGTGTCTGCCCGAGTACAATGGTTTGGGCCGTCCGTCCGGGTGCTCAGGCAATACCCACACGTACATTTGCACAGAGTGTGCCCACAGGTCTGCAAAACTTAGATTTTCTTGGGAAAGCAGTCCTGGCCCGGGAATTGAGAGCTTTTCTTTTTCTCACCCTCAGGTTTCTAGTCGTTTGCTACGCTGAACGAAACCCTCTGGAGGGGGTTGGCTGCTCGAGGGGTCGAGTTCACAAGAAGGTGACATTTATCTTGAGTAGAGCTGGATAAATGATGAAAAATGGTGTTTGCACGATAAGATGATGAAAGGGGAAATCGGGACCAGTGTAAAGTGTTCTAAGGACACAGAGGGATC